TTAAGGTGACCACCCAGCCTCCCTACCTGGAGTGGTTCGGCTTTCCCTGAGGTCCAGTCATCTCCCTGCTCTGCTCCATAGAGCGCTGTTTAGTGATGCCAGGGCTGGAATAACGTCATATTTCGGCTCCTAGCATCACTGGAGGGTACCCGAGGGAGCAGAGCAGGGAAGGAGGTTACAGCTCCTTCACGCGCCTGCTAGCCTGCCTCAATCACCTAGGAATCTCCCACACTTGCAAACAATGCACGCTCTCCCAAAACAGGATGACTGACTGCACACCTACGCTCTCCATAAGCTGGCTGGCCGGCTGACTGCAAATGCTCTCCCTTTAGCCAGGCCAGGCCGACAGCATGCCCATGCTATTTATAAGCTTGCCAGCCGCCTGCCTTCGCTCATAAGCGGCCGACCGCCTTAAGGGCTGAATGGGCCAACAAATCCAAGGCGCCAGGCTAAAATCCTAGTTGCCATGGTGACCTGGGATTTGTCGAGCCCTGCTGTAATTGAATATGAGTTTGCCTTTGACGTATATAGAAAATTTACTATCCAATTATAAGATATAAGCTATACTCATCTGACAAATATAACCTGAAATAAAAGGGACCCAGCTAAGCTTAAACTTTAAAGTCATCAAGATCTGGATTTGGAGATTGGTTTGATTAATATTTCAGGTGACACCAACCTGGGGTTAAAGGACCACTCTAGGCACCCAGACCACTTCAGCTTAATGAAGTGGTCTGGGTGCCAGGTCCAGCTAGGGTTAACCCATTTTTTAATAAACATAGCAGTTTCAGAGAAACTGCTATGTTTATGAATGGGTTAAGCCTTCCCCCTAATCCTCTAGTGGCTGTCTCATTGACAGCCGCTTGCGTGCTTCTCACTGTGAAAATCACAGTGAGAGCACGCAAGCGTCCATAGGAAAGCATTATGAATGCTTTCCTATGTGACCGGCTGAATGCGCGCGCAGCTCTTGTCGCGCGTGCGCATTCAGCCGACGTGGAGGAGAAGAGGAGGATCGGAGGAGGAGAGCTCTCCGCCCAGCGCTGGAAAAAGGTAAGTTTTAACCCCTTTCCCCCTTCCAGAGCAGGGCGGGAGGGGGTCCCTGTGGGTTGGGGCACCCTCAGGGCACTATAGTGCCAGGAAAACGAGTATGTTTTCCTGGCACTATAGTGGTCCTTTAAACCAAGAAAGATCATTACTAGTTTCATGGAGATATGGCACATATGTAATGGCTTAAAGAAGAGAAGCACTGACTAGCAGATAGACTTCTATTCATCCCAACTTGAAGTCTATCTTCCCATCAGTGCTGTTCCTTTTACATCCATTGATTACCTGGAAGAAGAACAGGTAATATCTATATATAAGGAGGTGTTTTAGACTTCCTCCTGCAACTACAAGCCCTATGATTAGCAATCCAGAGGTTCCCTAACCCAAACAGTTTTACTTAAAGGAGCATCCCAAGCACCATAACCAGTACCACATGCTGTAGTGGTTATGGCATCAAGAATGCATTGGTTACTTCCCCAGTTAAGTAGCTAAACCAACAAAAACAGAGAATATGAGAACAACAAAAGCTCATAAAAACTAAATAGCTTGGAATATGACGTCATTCCGGCCCTGCATCACTGAAAAGCTCTCTAGGGAGCAGAGCAGGGATATGACAGCAGCCCCACTGGACCCCAGAGAAAGCTAATATACTCCAGATTTCCCAGAGATATGAAGGCTGTGTGGATGTAAAATAATAAAAGTAATGATTTGTGAGTGAGTGTTGCAGTGTGTGAGAAATCAGGGAGTGTGTCTGTGAGTGAGTGTGTTACAAGACAGCAATGTAAACCCTGCCTTTAGTCTGAAAAGTCAGTTTTTACATTGAAAAGAATGCAGGGACAGTATATAGACTTCAGAACAACTACATTAAGCTGTAGTGGTTCTGGTGACTATAGTGTCCCTTTAAGAATTTAATTTTTGAAACAGAAAAATCTGTCTCCTAACTTTTTTTAACTGGCTCCTAGATTTCAAGCAAATTTGTCAAGCCCTGTCATGAGGGCAGTCCAGAACTGAAATACCAGCAAGTTGTCTCTGCGTGAGAGATACAGCAACCCTGGACGATCGTTTTGGCCTTGATTGGGCTTTGTCAGTTGTAGCCGATACCCCTCTAAGCAAAGAGAGCACGGGTGCCCACGTCTGGGTTACCCTTTTAACTTCAAGGGAACATCCCAAAACAGAAGAGAGGATTCAAGGACCTCAGGTAAGCTGTCAAACAGGTGCCAGAGCAGGCAAGGCACCATAGCCACTACAGTAGGCTATAGTGGTTATAATGTTTGGTGTGTTCCTGTAAATGATCAATCCAAACTCCTACAGCAATTCACCTTGTGTAATTGCCTTAGTGGTTACCTGGTTGTGTCCTTTGTCTTATTTTAATAAAAGGGCTTATTTCAAGAGAATTTGGCACTTTTATAATCTCACCTTAATGCCTTTTAGATGCTGACCAGCAATGCTTTCTGACTATGAGAATAGCCATGCAAGCTCCCTGCCTCCTAATGCTTCTCTATGATCAGCATTGGTTGGCCGAGAGATCACCACTAGTACTGATCTTCCAGAGAGAGCCGAGCTGCGGCGATAAGATGGTCTCACCACTGGATTATTTAATTTAAATTTTTAGACCTAAATCTAAAGTTAAAAAAAAAAAACTACAATGTTATAAAGTTATGTATTTCTTTCTAACAAAAGAGTTTCCCCTTTAAAAAGAATTCTGTCTCAATCCAAGATAGAATGGAACATTCTATGACATGAAACATCTACAGATTTCAACTTTTGTGTGGGCCCTGTAGACAGCAGGAAGATCTTAAATACATGTGGCAAATGTGAGAACACTCAAATTTGCTGACTGTATACTTTTATTGGGATCAACCATTTAAGACACACCTGCTGCCACTTTTACTTTGTAAATTACTTATGATACATCAGCTAGCCTAACAGTCATTTATGGGTCTGACATGTTCAGACGTCTTGTTAACTCTACAGATCTTAATGGGCTAGACATTGTAGACATATTTACCTAATCCAAGACTAGTGATATGCCTGCTGATTTGTGTGGGATTGTCACTTTTCCATTTAGTTTGGGGGTCAAACTATTATGCCCATTAGGAAGGTGTCTGGGCATATATAATTGGATCACCATCTTGCACACTCTTATTACATGTCAAAGGTCTAATTGGATAAGAATGTAAACAGCTCAAAACATTACTCTCCAGTAGACAATTTATAGGATTAACCCAATAGTTTATATGTCCACATAATTCTGTAATATTTCCCCAGGAGTCAAAAAAAAAAAAATAAGTTAAACCCTTTTCATATTAGACTGTATATAACCAAAAAGGATAGAGAAGACATTATTTAGCACATTGCAGTTCAGAGGTTTAATGTATTCCTCATTTTAAAAAAAACCTTGTGAATAAATTGTGATATGTAGGCCAGAAAAGAGGAGCTGGAACGAATTGGAGAAATTGTCCAACTCTGTTATTCTGGCCTACATTTTGCAAATTAGATTTCAATCGACCAGCATTTGTTATTTTGTGAATAAGCCCCAGATGCCACAACCCCGTTATGGACCATTTTTCCTAAACGTTGGTGGTTCCCCTTGTTTAATTACAAAACTGTCAAAGTGTGCTAAAAACTTACCCAACAACGCCACATGGCTTAATGGCTTCTTGTCACTTTTTGTGTGTGACTCTGGGTCTAAAAATGTATTTAATTGTACCAGGTTCCATAATGGCTCTCTATTAGGGCAGGTGCCACATGGTCTGCTGCCTGCATGACACAGCTCCATATCTATCCAGCACCACAAAGAGGGAATCAGACACCCTATACCTCTGTGGCCTGGCATCTCTCTGACCCTTGATCAGTCCATGCAGAACTAATATGCCCACCCCAACTACAGAGAGAGCTACCACCCCCACCCCATGCATTTATTGAAGAGATGAGGATGCCATATGGCACTGACAGCCAAGCTTGGGAACTCCATTTCCCATCATGCTCAGCCAGCAAACACCAAGGGCAATGTAGATCCCAAACACCTACTGGTGCCAACCCTAAACCCCTCTATGGTGTACCCTATACCAATAGCACTGCTGGCATCATAGCTGCTGCAGGTCACGTTTCCCAGGATGCTCAGCCAGCCATGAGGCTGTCACACCATAAGAAGCAGCCCTGTAGAAACGGGAAGTGGGCTGCCATCACAGTGCCATTCTCAGCTGGCACCCCTGGCACCCCATACCCACACTTTGGGATTCCCACCCCCTTCACCCACCACCACCACCTAACAGCTCCTCACTGACAGTGCCAGCCCAGGTCGCCAGCAGCCCTCCCCCCCTCTCCAGCCCGGGTCCCTCTCCCATGCCACCCTACAACCCCCACCCCAGTGCCCCCTCACCCACATGTCATCTTACCCGAGATCCCGCCCGACAGACACCACGGCCGCACGGGGAGGAGAGGTAGGCGGGGGGGCACCCCCTCCCCACTGCTGATCACACCGACCGGATCGATCCCAGCGTATCGATTCCCACCACCACCCCCCCGGAGAGAGGGGATGATGAGGGAATAGGGAGGGGATCGCTCCCCTGATGCTCCGTGTGAGGGCCAAGTTTTCCCACTGGTGATAAAAAGCGGCCCCCTTTCCAGCCCCTCACGGCGAGCGTGAGATCTTCCCCCGCCTCATTTGCATATCTGTGTCTGAGCCGCTGATTGGCCGAGCCTGCGAGGCGGGGAGGGGAGACAAGTGCGCAGCTCGGGTGTTCAGTGAGTGCGTGGAGGAGGAGGAGGAGGGAGGACGTGTCTGCCGGGGGCTCCCCGCTGTGACAGCAGGGGCTGCCCCCCCCCTCCTACCTCAGACACCCCCCCCACCTTCACTGAGGCAGCATCACACCATGACTGGAACACCTCTCTCTCTGTGTCTGCCAGGGGAGAGGGGCGCTCAGGGGGTGCTGAACTCAGTGACAGTGTGGAGGAGAAGGAGGCTGCTGATCAGGTGGCCCAATATGGCCTCTTCTTCACAGCAAACCAATCCACAGAGACCTTCTAGTGGAAGGTGACTAACCTCTTTATAAAGCTTTATAAACCTAATGTGCCCCCTCCCACCCCCCTCCTACTCCCCCATGCAGGGGATACTCTGATGGCTTACTGATGGAGTTGGATCATCTGGGGGGACAACATTGATCCCAATCTGCTCAGGAACCCGCCGTAACCTTATACAAATGTTCTAGTTTATTTTAACCAATGTATCTCCAGCGCCAATGATGCTCGCCTTTCAATACTAAATCCCCCTCCGACAATGTTTCGCATGAAATAAACAAAATAATTCTTGGAAGATGGGACGGTCTAGTCATATGCATACGCTTCAAGTTGACAAAGCTTGACAAAAGACAGAGCTTTTGTGCATATGATTACAAGCGCACACCCAGTGAAGCGCAAGTGATGCCATATAGTGTGCATCTTTAGAGAATTAGAGTGAAGTGCTCATGCCATTGTACAGAACACTGGTGAGACCTCACTTGGAGTATTGCACGCAGTACTGGAGACCATATCTTCAGAAGAATATTGATACCTTAGAGAGAATTCAGAGAAGGGCTACTAAACTGGTTCATGGATTGCATGATAAAACTTACCAGGAACGGTTAAAGGAACTTAACATGTATAACTTGGGAGGAAAGATGAGACCGGGTGGATATATATTTAAAAGACGAAAAACTACCACAACAAGAGGACATAGTCTTAAATTAGAAGGGCAAAGGTTTAAATATCAGGAAATATTACTTTACTGAGAGGGTAGTGCATACATAGAATAGCCTTCGAGCTAAAGTGGTAGAGGTTAACACATTAAAGCAGTTTAAGCATGCGTGGGATAGGCATAAGGCTATCCTAGCCATAAGATAAGGCCAGGGACTAATGAAAGTATTTATAAAAAATTGGGCAGACTAGATGGGCCGAATGGTTCTTATCTGCCGTCACATTCTATATTTCTATGTAATTACTAAAGATATATTGAATATAGTCTTCTCAAGTCAAAAGAACATTGAAATGTAATTAAAATATGCGTGTTGTGGAGATTTGCTGTGCATATTACTGGATATGGAGACTAAAAAACTGACATCTCAAATGTATTTGAGTTGTTCCTGGCTTTTGACTTCTTTAATATTGATACAAAAGTGCCCATTGGCCATTATATTTTAAGCAGGACTGTCTCATGGGCCCTCAGCGTTTTGTGGAGACATCTCGTATGATAACATGTACCCTTGCATGGTGAAACCTTGGGGGGAGGTCGATATATTTACATGAATATCTCTCTCACCATTGTCTTGTTCTTTATGGTATTCAGCATCTAGTGGTTTCATCTACCAATGAGTGATGTCATCCATTGGGGATCTGGCATATGTCATAGGCACGCATATCTAATGAGTAGATTTATTTGCCCATCAGTGGTTGCTCACCATGGCCAATGAGAAATGGTAGAATATTTTGGTGGAAGCTGCATGAAGCTCCACTTTTACTACTTTTTGCCAGAATCATCCCACCCATAAGGAAGTAATCCTGTCTCTATCCTGTTATTATTAGTTTTATTCTGCAAAGATTCTGAACCAAATTTTAACTTTTTGGTATAAAGCAAAACAATTGGAAATATACCTTTTGAAGAAAATTCTAAAATCTTGACTACTTGGATATAGTTATATGTTTATATTGAAGATTGGTTAATAAATACTGGTTTACTGTACAATAAAGGAATCAGACTGAGATGTTGATAGCTATTTTTTTTCTCCAATTTAAATACACAAATTATTATTGAGATATGTTTGAAATAGCTGAACCTGCTACCTAAATCTTGATGGAGTCTCCAAATTTCTAACTTTTGCCTGTTTCATAACCATTTGTCTGGAAAGCTCCTAAACTGTTTGAGGCTTGAGCACTTTGCTTCCTCCAGCTGTCACATCCACAACCTATAGCCACCCAACAGAAACAGCTCTATACTTCTCTTCTCACGTTACAAAGTTATGCAAGTAGCCTTGTTCTACTGAGCTCAACTAAAGTGGAGTCATTTTACAGGAATTATAACGCTTTCACCATTCCAAATTCCTGGAAAATATTTGATCAATTGTATCTTTAAACAAGAGGAAAGTACTTCTACTGTTGTTCTGTAATTATATATATATATATATATATATATATTTATTTTATTTTTATTTTTTTAAATGTGTAATAAAGTATTGCAAATGCTTCTAAAACATGAGCTTCAATGATATCCGTGCCAATAACATTTGTCACATTTTATCAGCTCCCGATAAGCCTTTCGTTGGTTCGAATCAATTGCATTGACTTTGTAAAGGGCTTCTAGGGGAGAGATAAATATTGGTTTGAAAAATATTGGTTTAAAAAAATTATCAAAAATCAATATTATACTTAGCCTTGAAAATATTTGATTTGGCAATTCAAAGCCATTTATAATAGATCTAATTCTCAATAAATAGACTGGAAAAATATGTCAAATGTTATGTAAATTTTTTTATTATTATTATTATATGTCCGTTGGCGGCACAAGCAGCCACATGACAAGTAGTTAAAAAAAAAAAAAGCCTATAGGGTTTTGCGCAAAATGAGTTTGCATAGTAGGAAAAGCCCTTCTAAGTGCTTTTCTACACCTATTTGCAATTTGTAAGAGCTCTTGTAAGCCAATCTGATAGACATTCGACCATTTAGAACACTCTGATAGTGTTACTCACACTATGCAATTTCCATCAGAGTGTTCTGATTGGTTGAGTCTAATAAGGGCTTTTCCCACTATGCAAGCTCGGTCTGTGTGGAGCCATTGATGGGCAAGGTTAGGTATTTTTGGGGGCTTTGTGGGATTTCTTTATTTCTTTATGTTTTTGCAATCGTCTTTTTTTATATTACTTAAAGGACCACTATAGTGCCAGGAAAACAAACTTGTTTTCCTGGCACTATAGTGCCCTGAGGGTGCCCCCACCCTCAGGGTCTCCTTCCCGCCAGGCTCTGGGGAGAGGAAAGGGGTTAAAACTTACCTTTCTCCAGCGCCGGGCGGGGAGCTTTCCGCCTCCGATCCTCCTCCTCTCCTCCCTTTCGGCGGAATGCGCATGCGCGGCAAGAGCTGCGCGCGAATTCAGCCAGTCTCATAGGAAAGCATTCATAATGCTTTCCTATGGACGCTGGCATCTTCTCACTGTGATTTTCACAGTGAGAATCAAGCAAGCGTCTCTAGCTTCTGTCAATGAGACAGCCACTAGAGGATTTGACGGCTGGATTAACCCATTTATAAACATAGCACATAGAAACATAGAAACATAGAATGTGACGGCAGATAAGAACCATCTAGTCTGCCCAATTTTCTAAATACTTTCATTAGTCCCTAGCCTTATCTTATAGTTAGGATAGCCTTATGCCTATCCCACGCATGCTTAAACTCCTTTACTGTGTTAACCTCTACCACTTCAGCTGGAAGGCTATTCCATGCATCCACTACCCTCTCAGTAAAGTAATACTTCCTGATATTATTTTTAAACCTTTGTCCCTCTAATTTAAGACTATGTCCTCTTGTTGTGGTAGTTTTTCTTCTTTTAAATATAGTCTCCTCCTTTACTGTGTTGATTCCCTTTATATATTTAAATGTTTCTATCATATCCCCCCTGTCTCGTCTTTCCTCCAAGCTATACATGTTAAGATCCTTTAACCTTTCCTGGTAAGTTTTATCCCGCAATCCATGAACCAGTTTAGTAGCCCTTCTCTGAACCCTCTCTAAGGTATCAATATCCTTCTGAAGATACGGTCTCCAGTACTGTGTACAATACTCCAAGTGAGGTCTCACCAGTGTTCTGTACAATGGCATGAGCACTTCCCTCTTTCTACTGCTAATACCTCTCCCTATACAACCAAGCATTCTGCTAGCATTTCCTGCTGCTCTATTACATTGTCTGCCTACCTTTAAGTCATCAGAAATAATCACCCCTAAATCCCTTTCCTCATATGTTGAGGTTAGGACTCTATCAAATATTCTGTACTCTGCCCTTGGGTTTTTACGTCCAAGATGCATTATCTTGCACTTATCCACATTAAATGTCAGTTGCCACAATGCTGACCATTTTTCTAGTTTACCTAAATCATTTGTCATTTGGCTTATCCCTCCTGGAACATCAACCCTGTTACATATCTTAGTATCATCAGCAAAAAGACATACCTTACCATCAAGACCTTCTGCAATATCACTAATAAAAATATTAAAGAGAATGGGTCCAAGTACAGATCCCTGAGGTACCCCACTGGTGACAAGTCCAAGCTTCGAATATATTCCATTAACTACAACCCTCTGTTGCCTGTTATTCAGCCACTGCCTTACCCATTCAACAATATTTGAATCCAAACTTAAAGATTGCAGTTTATTGATAAGCCTTCTATGTGCAACAGTGTCAAAAGCCTTACTGAAATCTAGGTAAGCAATGTCTACTGCACCACCCTGATCTATAATTTTAGTTACCACATCAAAAAAATCAATAAGATTGGTTTGGCATGATCTCCCTGAAGTAAACCCATGTTGTCTCTGATCTTGAAATCCATGTGTTTTTAGATGTTCATCAATCCTATCCTTTAACATGGTTTCCATCACTTTCCCCACTACTGAAGTAAGGCTTACTGGCCTATAGCTGCCCGACTCCTCCCTATTACCTTTCTTGTAAATGGGCACAACATTCGCTAACTTCCAATCTTCTGGGACTACTCCTGTTAACAATGATTGGTTAAATAAATCTGTTAATGGTTTTGCTAGTACACCACTAAGCTCTTTTAATAGCTTTGGGTGTATTCCATCAGGTCCCATTGACTTATTTGTCTTTACTTTTGACAGTTGAAATAGAACCTCTTCCTCTGTAAACTCACGTGTAATAAATGACTCATTTATCCTTTTTCTCAACTGAGGTCCTTTCCTTCATTTTCTTCTGTAAATACAGAACAAAAATATTCATTGAGGCAGTCAGCCTGACCTTTATCCTCTTCTACATACCTTCCTTCTTTTGTTTTAATCTAACTAATCCTTGTTTTACTTTTCTTTTCTCATTTATGTATCTAAAAAATGTTTTATCCCCCTTTTTTACTGACTGTGCTATTTTCTCTTCTGTGTGTGATTTGGAAGCTCTTATAACTTGCTTAGCCTCTTTCTGCCTAATCTTATAGATCATTTTGTCTCCTCACTCTGGGTTTTTTTATAATTCCTAAATGCTAACTTTTTGTTTTTAACTATTTTGGCC